TTATAATCATAGCTAATAATCACAKTTAAAGATAAGAAGATTAAACTAATCACGTGTAAAATTTTTTATTATTATCATTGTTTTGAATATTGAGTTTATATATATATATATTTGATATAATAGATTATTAACTTTATGACAACTAGAGCCTCAATAATCGTTATCTCTATTATAATCAAAAAGTATTGAGAAATTAAAATATTATTTCGGATTTCAATCCATTAAACAAATATCACATGTTATGAATATCAAAGCCAGTATGTCTATCACCTAGGTGTTAATTTTTGTAAATATAATAATAATTGCCTATATTTAAATAAAATTAATAACAATATATAAATGTTCAATTAAAATTAAAATTTAAAAATATATATAATATAGTATTATATAGATAAAATTACTAATAATTTTTTATAATAAAACAATATTTTTCAGTTTTGTTCTTTTATATGAAATATAATTAATTTTTAAAGATCTGCCATTGTGTAAAATTGTAATATTAAACATAATCTATAAATATTGTTATTTTTAAAATATTATATTATTTACTATTTTTTTTCTTATGTAATTTTTAAATTTTAGTTCTACTAATTATATATATATATATATATATATATATATATATATATATATATATATATATATTAAATATTTTTAATCTGTATAATTGTATAAAATGACGATAACTTTAATAATAAAGTTTTATAAGTGTCAGTATATTTACAAAAAATTAACACCTAGGTTTATATATATATATAATTTAAAAATATCGCAAAAATTTATTTTCTTTACTTAATACTATTTGATTAGTATAGATAACGATTCTTGAGGCTCTAATGACAACTAATAAAAATATTAGATAATTTAATTATATTTATATTATAGATTCTATGTTGAAAAATAACTAATTAAAAATAAGATTCATTTGACAATAATTTTTGTATTAAAATTTTTAAATGTTTTGTATAATAATAATTTACAAATTACAATCTAAAGACAGTAATGTTATATCAAATTTTTACATATTTTAATAAATATTCACAATTATTTTATTTATACTGAATTATTAAATTAAATTATATTTTTTAATAATGAATAAAATAATAATTTTTTATTTAATCAAGTAATAATAGTATTAGCTATCATAAATTAAATCATTTAATCAAACAATCAACAAACAAATATTTATATATTGATAATCAGTTTTAGTTTTAAAAATATATTTAAAATTATAAATATTCCATTAATATGTTTATTAAATAATAATAATTTTATATTTTCTTTATGTTTGTAATCATTTACGACTTACTGCTATATAAAATAGATTAAAATAAATTTAATATAATATTAATTTATAATAGTAGTAAAGATATGATAGTTATCAAAATGTTTAGATAGCAGTCAGCAATTTTTCATGTGATAAAATGATGAACAAATTTATGTTATTTTTTACATACAGTATTATAAAATTACAAATGAAGTCATTGTCTTATATATAGCGCTTTAATCATTTTATTAGGGCTTAATATAAATTCAACAGTTATGCTGTTAATTAAATATATTTAACTACTATAACGATATCAAACATATCAATAAAATTTKAATGAAAAACAAAATTGTAAAATTAAATTATTTATATCTTACTGTTCTAAATGCTAATTGTTATTTTTTTTATTATATATAAATATAATACATTAATTACTTAAATAATATTTTTAGATCAATATTATTTATACAATATTTTTAAACATATTTAAATATTTTCAAATTTTATTATCTGAAAAATATTGGAAAATTGTTGATTTATAAAATGTCAATTAGCTAAACATTTATCATAATGTGTTGTTGCAGTATATATAAACTTTATATAAAGTTTATATAATCTATTGATATTTAACCAAATTATTAGAAAAAAACAAATCAGTAAACAAGTTTAGTAAATGTTTAATAAAATTATCTAAATATTATATTCTCTCTACAATACAGTAGACATTTGACAAAATAAAACAAACTTTTAGTAAAATATGATTATTATATGATATGAGAGATGTTGTTGTGGTCGGCAAAGACTGCACGGCGTCGACACCACTCATAACACAAACTGATATCTCCAGACATTTTTGCCATTATATGTGTTTATATTATAGTATACTCGATATCTGACTTTCAAAAACATAAAAACAACTCAAATACTGTACTTATACTCAATGAAAAAGTAAATCATATTTAATGCCAATTTCTTTACATCTGTCAACTCAAATACTTCCTTAAAATCAATGCTAAGATATTTTTAATCTTATTTTTATACCAAAAAATATTATAATTTTAATGGAAGATTACACTCTATGAGACAGTTAAGTACTAAATGAATAAATTTATGAAATCAAATCAAATAAATGAAATGTTTTACATTTGAAAAAGTGTCGCAAAAATTGATGTTTTGTTCTACTTTTTTCTATAAACTTTATATATCTTTTAACTTAAATATTAATTATAAACAAAAATTGTTAGCAAATTAATGAATGACTTTGTTATTTATTTATTAGTTATAGATTTGTATATATTGTACAGTTTTTTTTATAAAAGATAAATTTTTTTATAAAAAGTGTCATTGAATTCATTTAAACTTTTTTTATATTTAATTAAAAAATATTGTGAGCGGTTAGCAACTAATTGGGTGCAACTCATTAAACAGGAAAGTATGTATTGTTTATATAAAATAGAGATATCTTTTTTATAATAATTACAAAAATATTTTTTTCTTTAAAAATATAAAAATAAAATTCAATAACAGGAAACTATGTTTTCTACATTTGTACTTTATTTGATGACAAATAGATTAATTTTATACTAAAAATATATGAATAATTATTTTATTATAAATATAAACAATTTTTATTCATTGTATTCTTGTTTATATTAAGCAATGATTGAATTTTGATATTTTAACATTATTATATTGAATATATAAGAATTATAAATTATAGTGTTATCTATAATATACAAAATAAAACTTAATTTTACTGTACTTTTTATTAATGCTAATAATGTAATATTAGAAATGTATAAATACTTAACAAAAAAAAATAATATTTATGTTAACATTTAAAAAATTCATTTAACATACAATTATAAAAAATTATTTTAAAATAGAAATAAATATTAATTATATTTAATTGTATAATGAGGATAAAGAGTCATAATATTTCTTTAAAATATACAATATATATATATATTATTTAAATTGAATTAAATTTTCCTCACTGTATTAAATATCATATATTATAATAACTTAAATAATCCGTAAAAATTTGAATAAAAAAAGTATTTTATATAAATATTTTTGTAATAAAATTTATTTATACAAAAATATAATACTGTATAATTTTTATTATAATAATATATTTATTATCTATTAATATAAATTTTTGTATCTTTGAATAACTAAATCAACAAAATAAATGCAAATAAAAATATATTCCTATTTTTAAACAATATATTTAAAAAATAATTGTTTATTATTGTAAATTATATATAATATTCATTGTATTTAATTAATGTTTTATTTATTGAAAAAAATATTTAAATCAATTTTTCATTCAAATAATTATTGCAATACTGTCTACAAAATGATAGAAATGTGTCAATAGATGGCATTGTTTGGCAAATGAGTGACAGTTTTGTAACACAATTTGAAAGTAGAGTTCAACACAACTGTCAGTGTTTTGATTGAATTGATCTCTGMTTTAGTCTTATTTGACATCAAATCGCATGAAGTGATCATTTGTTTAGTCGTTAATTATTTTCATAAACACATCCATAGACTCAATGCCTCCGAGAAAGCAAAACAAACGAAGACGAGTTGTTTCCGCCGACGAAGACTCTCAACAATCGGTTACCGATACCAACAGTAACGGCCACTGCGGTCACTGTAACGATAAGTTACAAGAGTTGTCCAAATTTGTGGACATAAGTCTCGACGGATTAGATAAAGAATGCAATGCTTTGGACCACAAAATGAATATAATTACAAAACTTATTAAAGAAAACAATGATTTAATGAATAAATACAAAGAAAAACAAAGACAGATAATGAAGTCATTGGCCACTGATATCGGCTGTCATGAGTGCGAAGATATCGACGATTTGACCAAAGAAGCCAAACAAAAGAAAGAGAGACTTGAGAAAGATGTCAAAGACTTAAAGCGATCGCTAAAGAGTAAGAAGTGTATGAAAACTAAATATGAAAACAAAGTAAAAAAATTGAGCGAAAAGTTGGAGTCTTTGACGGAAAAGAAGAAAGAATTGGAAGAAAACAAAGACTCGAAAGAGTTTAAAGATTTGGCAGAAATTATGCGTTTAAGGTATAAAGTGTCGACTACTTTGGGATTTGTATCCTTCGAGTGGACCGATTCGGGCGCCAGAAAACCGAAGGGCGTCGTCACCGATCATAGCAATGATATATCGACCGATTTCTGGCACTCAATGAATACTTTTTATAAGATATAAATTATTACTTAATTTTATTAAATTTTATTTTATCCTAATGTGTATTGTTTGCAATGTTTATATAATTTTATTATACCATTTATACTGTATAAGTGATATTAATATTTATAATATACGGTACAATTGTATGTTGTTTTATATATTTATTATATATATAAATTGAAATATTAATAAATTTTATTATATTAAATTATACGAAAATTATAATTACCGTAATATTTAATACAATGCTATTTTCAGTGCGCTTACAGTAATTACAACCCATTGATAGTTTTGACCGCGAAATGCATTTAAATGAATATACAGTTAATAAACACTAAACACTGTAAACACTGTAACCCACGTGTTGTCAAAATAAAGTATTTCATCAATGTTTATGTCAATACAATTACATTTATGCAATTTTGTGCCTTTTATATACTCTTTGTTATAATAGATAATATATGTATATTACTTAGTAATAAAAAGTCATAAAATTCAAATTTAGTTTTGCTTTGTTTGTTATGTTAAATATGTATTGTTTTGTTGACTATTATTGCATAATCAGTAAATCGGTAACTAATTGGTCACATAATGGACAGTAATGTACATCAATGGACATCAATCAACAGAAATGGACAACAAAGCCGACAGTGAAGACGCTTATAATTTGGTTTCGCAAACCCGTTGGGAAAAAGATGTCATTTGGGATCCCGATGTTGTCCGACAAGAAGTACTAAAAAATGCCCCCAAAAAGTGTGCGACCAGTGGTTGGCTTCCGATGGGTCCGACGTATTCGGCGCCAGAGTTTGTCAAACAAATTGATTGTCCATTTGATAATCAAATGAAATATGAAAGACATAAAATCAATAACAATTGTGTTAACAATAGTTGCAATAAAACTCCGAAAAATTGTGATAACAATCAAAATAAAGATAACAACAATAAGTCTTCTTCTAATAGATTGTCAAAAAATTTGAGAAAACGAAAGGCAACTGAAGAGATAGTGACAGCAAGTGATGAAACTCAAGCTATTTGTGTACCAAAGAAAATATGGATAACAACTCTGAAAGAAGAAAATCCATTACTTGTATATCATCTCTGGGAAGATAAGATCATTTGGGACAACGAAGACATGGATATATCATCGGAACCGGAGATTATGTTTAATGAAGACGATGACAATTATATCATACCATCAATCGATGATATGAATGATAATTCAAACGACTCACAAGCGGTTGGTTTTATAAGTTTATCATCGGATCAGTTAAACATATCAAACGATCAGTTTTATGCTTCAGTAGAGAAGGCCAACAGTAGTTCCACTCATAATCTGATAATCAGTCACTCGATTCCTGCCATAAAACTCGACTCATTATTATTTCCCACTTTTTTGCTGGATCTTCAGCGACCACTACTTAAAAGGTCACGAGCTTTGCCATCAAAAGTTGAACACAATGTCTATTTTTGTAACAAACGAATCAAATTGAATGGATGTATTGTTAACGATGACATAGAAGACAGAGCAACTGATTTAAGTAAATATACTATTAATGCCATCACAGATCTGACTGCTTGTAATGGAGAAGTCGTCCTAATGGAGTATTCAGAAGAGGAACCACCGTTTTTTATGAGAGTGGGAATGGGATCTCAAATAATCAATTATTTTCAAGTAAATACGATTTTTTATTTGATATTTAAAATATTGATTAAAAATATTATTGATTGTATAGAAAGACAAAAACAGTTGTCCGCCGACACACAGATTCGCTCAGACAAAGACTGTGACGAGTTCTCCATTTATTGGAGAGATAGGCGCCGGAAAAAGTCAATTATCTTTAGAGACAAATATGTTTAGATCACCTATTTTTGAACATACATTTCCCGAAACAGATTTTCTCGTTATACGAACTTTCGACAAGTATTTCTTATTTATAATTATCATAAAAATTAATAAATTTAATGTATTTTAAAATTAAAATTTAGGTATTTCATACGTGATATCAGTGGACTATTTGTTGTTGGCCAACAATTGCCTTTAATTGAAGTGCCGCGACCCAAATCTAAACAATATTATGATTTCATTAGACAATTTGCTAAGGTTTGTGTTATTTTTAAACATGAGTTAAATTAATTATTTTTTTAATATTTAGATGTTTATCTATCGATATTTTAATGGAAGAAAAACTGTTAGCGGTTTGGATACTGAACTACAAAAAGCATTTCCAAATATTAGTAATCATTTTAGGACTAAAATTTTAAGAGATTATACTATTAGGCAATACGAGCGTAAGTTTTAATGTTTTTTAAAAAATTTATGTACTATTGTTACCAAATTTTTTAATTGTCTTTATATTATAGGTTTTGCACTTAAAAGTGAAATACCGTTTGATATTCAAATAAACAATTTATTGACACCAGAAGATTGTTGTTCTTATTATTCAACATCATTTGCTATCAATAAATTCAAACAAATGGGTTTTGGAGATCGTCTTTATCTTAACAATGAAATCAAAGACGACAATAAATTGGATGAGTTATCTATCGCTCCCTGGAATACAACTGCTTCTTATATCGCGACACTTAATGCAAAAAAATGGCTCAATATTTCTAACTATAACGAAGACGGTTCCCTATTGTTTGTCAATCAGTCGTATAGAGATTTTAAGGTAAAAATATAAACACAAAAGATTTATTAACAATTACTGGTATATTAAATCATAATTTGTTAACATATCTTTAGGATCAAATGCCAACCATCAAGAAATGTCAACCACTAACTAATTTGTCAATCAAAAGAGTATCACTTCAAAGAGCACACGAATGGCTCATAAATTATGGCTTATCTAAGGATAGGGTCAAGAAATTGAAGAATGTTATTGAGTGTCAGTTTATTATCAAAGAGTTATCTGAAAAGCTACGACAAAATGGTAATATTTGTTATAATTAAAATTTTATGCATCGATTTGTTTTTTATTTTATTTTTTTTATTGTGTTAGGTGTGAGAGCAGGTGTCACCAAAAGTCAAACAACTGAACAACATTATAGATTAGAGTGTCAGAAGGTGTTTGATTTGCACTCAACTTATTACTCGAATAACGAAATGTTTGAATCTGACGAAGAAGAGGAAGAAGAAGAGTCAGAATGTGATTCAGAACTTGAAGATATGGGTAAAGATTTAGAAGCAATGATTCTGGAGAACAAAACATTGGAACAAATCGAACACGAAAGAGAAGAAGAGGAAAGAAAATCATTTATGAAAGCATTGAAAGAAGGAAAAAGTGTCAAAGATATCAAAAATGATGAGACGAGAGAATCATTGAAAGGAAAGCTCTTAAAAATTACAAGACTTTATGAAATCAATGGCAAACGAGAGATCAGAACAGAAGTAGTTAGAAGACGTGAAGTGATTGAGGCTTACGTTCGCATAAGAAAAACCAAAACTTCTGAATTCATTAAACAATTAAGTTTTGTTGGAAATCATAGCGAAAACGGCAACATTTTGTCCAAACATAAGTCTAAGTCAAAACAACCGCTAAATATAGTCAATAATAATAATAATAATATCTCGAAACCAATAAATGGTTCGATAAAAAGTAAACCAAAAAGTGAATCTCAAGCATCAGATGCTAAACTAAATCATAACCAAAATGATGTCAAACTTTATGATTATAACAATATTGATATTAATGAAGACAATGATTGGGATATAAGTGACACTTCGTTTGATGTTCAACAGCCATTGGTTAGTGTCGAAGGAAATAAAATCAAGTTTTCTAAAGCAGTAGTCATTGAAGCAAATGAAATGGCGGAAGAAGAACGACGTCGTATTGAAGAGGAAGAGGAAGAAGAGAGACAATCTAAAACTGTCAACTATTTTCAGGTTCGCTCTAAAACCAGGTGTCGAATTGATCCGATGGTAAAACTCAAAGAAGTATTCGATAAGCTTATAGTTGATGCCAGAAGATGTGAGGATCTCGAAGACTGCGTTGACTTCTTCAATGAACCCGTTAAAGTCAAAGAAGTGCCCGATTATTATGATATCATTAAAGATCCGATGGATTTGACTAAAATTCGACTTAAAGTCAGTGAAAACAAGTATTGGACTCGAAAAGCCTTTCTTAAAGATATTCAACTTATATATGAAAATTCTGTTGAATATAACGGCGCCGACAATGATATTACTCTAAACGCAGCAAAATTGGTTGAGTTTTGTAAAGAAAGACTAAATTCATTGAGTGATGAGTTAGAAAAATATGAAAAATTATTGGAAACGGACGATCACTACCATCTGTTAAAACAAATTGATTTATTACATAAATAAATAATCATTGCATTTGTATTATTACTTCATATCATTACAATTATGTGCTGTATATTAAATGTCCACAACTTTTTTTTTTGTTTTTATAGTTTTATATAATTTGTTTAATAAGTAAAATTTAAAAAATCATTTAAACTTATGTTTTTATATACACAGTATATATAATTACGTTAACAATTTTGTGTCATTTGTTTAATTAAAAGAATATTTTTATTCGTTATTGAAATTAAATAAATAAGTTTTATAACAAATATATTAACATTTTTTGTATATCAATTAATAAATATTTTTTAATAGCTAAAATAGTTTATATCAATATATTATAACACCAAATAAATTTTGATATATTTTCACTGAACTAAACGCTACAAATAATATAAGAAAAGTTATTATTTTTAAACAAAAATGTAAGTAATATGAGAATAGATCTAAAAATTTTAAATTATCATTAATTAGCAAACAATATATGGTATTCATTATAGCCAACGATGACAATAGTGTAGCCGACATCCAGACCACAACCAATGGGTGAAACGTTTCCTTATGAAGACCAATGATGTCAATGATTTGTTCCCGCAATGCATTCAATCTTTCTTTTTCATTGATTTCACTCTCGATGTTGTTGTCATCAATATTGCCATTCATGTGATTATTTATTTTGATATTATTTTTCAATACATTACTATAAGTTTTATAATACATTTCTATCTCTATCTTTAATTGTTCACATTTTTTGCAAACCATACACGTTATGGATATGTAGAAAATCTGTATTTATATAAATGTTTGTTTAAATAAAAAATTATTTTTTAAAGTTAAAATGATCATATAAAATAAAAATTTATTTATTGATATCAATAAATCTGTGTAAATCTAAATTTTTATTTATTTTAAAAACAACAAACAATTTAAATATGTTGCAAATATATATATATATATACAGTATATACAACTATATATTGTAGAATCTATTGAAAGAAAAAAATAATTAAATAAATACTAATTATCTCTGAGATTTATATATTTCGGTAATTTTGATGAATAATATGCATATATTTTGCAATTTTTCAATATATAGTAACTGTATTACAGTTAATGTCTTTTTAAAATTTTTATACATGAAAGTCATAAATTTTAACGGTTAAGAAAATAACTGATCAAATAAATTGTTTAGTAAAAGTTTAAATTAAATATGACTAGACTTTGGCATTTAAAAATAAGAAATATTTTTTTAAAAAAGTTTTTAAATTATATTTGAGTTATGTATATATGAAACACATATACAAAGAAAGAAAGAAAGAAAGAAAATGTTTTATTTAAATCATTTCAAAAATAGATTATTTATGTGTTTGTATTATAATAGTTATATAAAAATAATTGTAAACATTGTTTTAAAAATTCTTCATATATTTAATAAACGAACCTTTATTTACTTATAAATTGATAATATATATATAATTATATTAATTATTTATTTAATTATTTAATAATTAACTTTATTTTACAAATTAAATCAATATTTTTTAGTTTATATAAAGTTGTAAAATAATAATTTATTAACCAAAATATAAATTATAAATTAATCATTTAATACTATTCTTCTTTATTATTAAACTTTTATTTTATTTAATTAYGGAGTTAATGACAATATCTATAGATAACTCTATTAATAACATTAATAACAAATATGTTTTTATTGGATATTTTATTGGATATTACAAAATAAATAAAATAAAAAATATTAATACCAATTATAGATTTAATTACATAATAAATATTTTTAAATACTTAGTAAATATTTTGTTGTAAATACCTTTCCTATGAGAAATATTAGTGAAATAAAATGTTGTAAAATGAGATCCAAGTAATAAATATAAGTCATTAAAACATAGTATTGCTGTTTATTTAGTAAACTCTCGGCATATATAGTAAACCGAGTTTGAAACGAATGTCTATCCCATTGTGTTATTAATAATGAATTACAAATAAATTCAATGATTATAGTAATCGAAAACAATATAAATATAAGACCAGAGTATAGCCTGACATCCAATTTGTCACTGAATGACAGTGGCCTCAAAAATGAAGACGAAATAATAATCACTTCTTCTATTTGAGACTTATTTGAAAAATAAAAGACAATACATATTGTGGCCGACAAACAGTCCAGTGTTGTGGTCAGTCCGGGACACGACATTACCCTAAGGTATCGCCAATGAAACACTTGTAACACAATTGTCAATAGGAATCTCACAGAATATATCGATAATATGGTGGTCGGTATCACACATCTCATGTCTAACCAAAAAGATTTGCCATAACTATCATCCATTTGATTGTCATCGACGGTATCGAAGCTATTGATGTTATGAACACTACCGAAGGTGTATCTGTCCGTCGATGGCAGTGATATGGATGGCATAAACGCACTGATTCTCATCACTAATATAATCCAATTATGAGTTTTTATATCAGAAAATAATATCAAATTATTTGATTTTCGTTTAGTCAAAGCACTAGTTTTATGTCTTTCAAATACTTTACATTTTAAAATATTTTTTAATTTTTTCATATTATAATATTAATTTTATGCTTTAATAAAAAAATAACTCTTTACAGTACAGTTACATATGTTTATATAATTGAAATAATTTCAACTTATAAATTATAGTCTTTTTTTGCCGGTTTATAAATAGTAAACTCGAGAGCTAAGTGTTAGTCATTTATTTTAACTGTTAGTTTCAATGAGAGATGAGTACTCTATTGAAACAATATTTTTTATTTTCAATATATATGGAACAAAATTAATGAATTTTTTCGCTTTAAATAAGGCCATGAATTTATGTATGTGTTTAGTTTTCGGTTAATTTATTGTTCAAGTAATATATATATATAGTTATTTATATAAATTTATCCAAGTATTTTTTATTATAATTAGTATAAAATGTTATCATAATGATGAATCATAATATGTTTAATTTTTATTTATTTAAAGCAATTCATTATGCTAAAATATTTAATATTTGTGTGTATGTATGTGTGTGTGTTTGTGTGTGTGTGTGTGTGTGAGAGAGAGAGAGAGAGAGAGAGAGAGAGAATACTATTCAATATTAAATACCCGAAAACTTAATATTTCTACAATATACTGAACCGAATAAAACAAAATGTTTGTGAAAGTAGATGAAAATCACGTAAAATTAATAACTAATTAACATTCGCTTAGTTTTAGTAGTCATTAATTTTGAATATAAAATGAGTGATACGTGACACAAGATATTAGTGTTAAAATCGATATCATTATTATATATATATAATGTCCGATAAAATTCATATATCCAAACGTGTGCTAAATATAATTGTTTAAATTTATTGAATCCTTTCTCTTATATAAAGTTATATACAGTATATATATATATATAAAACTACAATGAATGTACAATTGAAGTATAGTTACAATATATACTGTATATAATATATAGTTATATTTTACTCACTTTCTAAACTTTCTAACAATAGTTTAACCACAGAGTAGACGACACCATATCGTGATATCAATTGTTTTATAAGTTAATAATCTCTTTATATATGAGTCACAAACGTGAAGATCAGTGCACTTATCCAAAGAGTTCTTTGAATTGTCTATAACTAGAATTTATTCACTTTATTATTGCTATTCCGTGTCAATGATATAAACTGTCGGCCAATCTCTATGTCTATGAATTAAATTGAGATAAAAGAATATTCTGTTATATTTTGTTTCATTTAATTTATGCTCAAAAGGTTACAATCTTTTTATAGACTCTAAACATAAAAAAACTTTTATCGATAAATATATATATAATTTATAATTATATTTGTCAGAGAGTATAATAAAGTTATTGTTATTATATTTTATTTTATTTTAGCTTTATATTATCTTCAAAAATTATAAACATAAAAACATTTTGTTTAATCTTTTAACGCTATTCAATCACTAAACAACTTATTACGAATTAATCAAATATAATAATATGATATACGATTATAAATTATAAATTATTAATATCATATTATAAGTATGATTGTTATATCATTTATACAATATTAATATAAATTATTTATATATACAACAATAGATAAGTTACAGTATCTCATAATTCTATAATACTTATCAAATAAAACAATTTTACTATTTTTACTCTAAATTAATTTTTTTTAAATATTTACAATTTAGTTCACAAACTTTTAAAAACTAAGATAAAAATAAAATAATGCATATAATTTAGTTTAATAGTAAATTTTTATTGAAAAATATATACGATATATTAAATAAAAATACATATATAAATTTAATAAATAATAAATTTTTATATTTAAAAACATTTTTAATTATATTTAATAACCAATAAGATTTTTATAAATAATTGGTCAATTTTATATTTGTTTATCCTTTTATTGAAATAAAAATAGCACCTACATAATAATAAAATTTATCTATTATATATTATACTTTTATATGGCTAGAGTATATTTATAAATAATTATAAAATAAATGTTCAATAGATATACTTAGTATAACTTATGATTATTACAAAATAAATAAAAAATATTGACTTAATAACTTTATATTATCCTCAAATATTATGATTAAAATGTAAAACATAAGTTGAGTTTTAAGGCAATTAATATTATAATTAATATAACACATAATTTATACATTTTATTCATTGTTTACATTAATCTCATTAAAATGTTATCAAACTATGAAAATTAATCATTTTGTGTATTATTTTTAGAGACTTATCGACAGAAAGATATAATTAAATTTAGAAAATTGTTTTTTGATAATATTTAATATAACACTTACATAAGTTTTAATATACAGTACTAACTTATATTTCAATTAGATTACTGTATAATCATATGCTAGACATATAAGTACCGTAAAGTTGGGAAAATTGGTCACATATTCTGCTCGACTCCAGTCTAAACCTGTATTTGTTTTTAAAAACTACTAATAAATATCATACAAATTGTTAGTCTATCCAAATATTTTCAGTAATTTTATTTCAATTATTTATTATCTTTTGTAATATTATTACATCAATACTGCTGTATAATAAATTTCCAGATTTTATGTACAGTAGTTTGAATTTATATTTGATTAAACAATTGATTTTCATGCAAATAAAAAATACTGTACTGTAAATTATATACATATCAACAGCCTCATGTATTTATATTATATAAATTTACCGTAAGTATTAATTTAAATAAATTATTTACTGTAAGTTTATTAACTTTAAATTTTTAATATAAAAAATAATTATTTATCAAATTTCAACTGAAATTTTTAATTAATGTTATACAAAAAAAAACATTTTTAAATTTTTATTTTATCTAATGATAGGGAGCGTCGGACTTAAACCTAATTATTGTTTTATCACATAATCATTGAAATCGTTGGAAAGTCTCTTATGATATCATAGTGTTTGAGCAATCATTAAAGGATTTCCCCTTAATGTGGATGAATGTCCTCAAAACTATTTGGTT